CACCTATCTTCAACCCTTATACAGTTCTTCAAATTTAAAGTATAAAATTTTGTATTACATAGTTCCATATAATTTTCAAATCTATCTATCTATATATATAAAAGTGTAGATTGTCTTGAAATTTTGATACAACGTTGCATTCGTATACAGCTAGCTTTTTATTACAGTAATTTATTTAGAAAACAATTAATTAATTTAAAAAAATAAAGAAAAAGATACAGGTAAGTTCAGTGCCATCTGTTGGTCATAGATTTTGGTGAGTACGCGAAACATTTGAACATAATCTAATCTTTTTCTGTATATATATAATCGGTAATAACCAAAAGTATTTTACTGATTGTCTTGAAATTTTGATACAACGTTGCATTCACATACAGCTGGGTTTTTATTACATTAATTTATTTAAAAAAATAAGTAATTAACTTAAAAAATAAAAGAAAAAGATACAGGTAAGTTCAGTGCCATCTGTTGGCCATAGATTTTGGTGAGTATGCGAAACATTTGAACATAACCTAAACTCTACCGTATAAATTCAATTATACACCACTTCATATAAATATTATATTTTTACGATTGGTCATCAATTAAAGTACACTTTGATTGTACTACGTTAATGTTTTAATACTACTCTATCATATTTCATTTCCATTTTTTTTATACTTTTGGTTTCCAATAGAGGAAATCCTGTGGGAACGAACAACCTCTTTTCCTAATGAGTAAACATTCGTGAAGAGGTTGGTTGGTTGGTTGTCTGAGTGACTGACCGAAGGGTTCTCTTGAGTAGATTAAAATGATTAGAGTAGTCATCCGGAAAACGGAAGAAGACCCCGAGTTCGAATACCCAACCCAATTTTACTACACCTACCTAACCTACCATTTTCGAGACCACGAATTTTTTTAAACTCGCATTCCTTTCAGACACTTACTATACTACTATCTCTTACGTCATATTTCAGACAACTCACAAATTGACACCAATGAAATCATCTTTAAAATAAACTAACAAAATGATCACTTAAAAAAATCGTTTTTTTTATTAATGCATACAACATAACTAATAATCAAAAAATATAAATAAACGTTTTATTTTATGACACATAATTGAATAAAATCAATTATTATTATAAAATATTTCTATAAAATTTATGGTGTGGCACATTATTTAAATTTAATATAAAATATAATTAAATAATTTATAAAAATATTATATTTAATTATTAAATTAATTATTTTATTTAATTATTATTTTAATTATTCATTAAATTATTAAATTATTAAATTAAATTAAAAATTATTATTGAAATAATGAAATAATTTATAAAAAAATATAAATGATATAATGTGTCCACCATAAATATGGAAATCGTACGACTATGTGAGAAAAATTTCTACCCTGTGTTAAGTGCACTTCGAGAACATTAAAGGTTGGGAGTAGAGTGATGGGAGGGGGGTTGAGGGGGAGAAATAGGCGGAGCAAACGAAATTTTTCCTTTTACCCCTTTGTGTGATACATCCCGGAGGCGATCTTCTCATCAAATCGCAATACATATACCTGTTTACGATCCACACATACAGACACACAGACACGTACACCAATGCAAAAAAAAATCACACGAATACTTCGCATTCTCTTTCATCTATTGTTTTTCTTCATTCGAATTAATAATCTTCACGATCTCCCCTTTTTTTTATGTTCACGATCCGTGAATGTTGTTTTCAATGTAATTTCGAAAAATTCATTTAAAAATCAATATAAACTAACACACGTTCACTAACACAATATAAATATAAAAAAAGAAATAAATATGTATATAATATAAATATAATTAATTATTAATTATTGGTAATATATTAAATATTTAAAAATATAATAGTATACAATAAATAAATAAATAAAAAATAATAATAATAATATTCTAATAAGATATAAAAATAATTCGATATTGGCATGCTATGTTTATTTTTGTTTTTGGTTTTTTTTTTCTATTTTTTTCTTTCTATACCAATGTTAAATAAAAAACTAAGAAAACAAAAACGAAAAAGTGGTTGTTTTGTAACACCCTATGTTTATTTTTTTTCCTATTTTTTTTTTCTATACCAATGTTAAATAAAAAACTAAGAAAACAAAAACGAAAAAGTGGTTGTTTTGTAACACCCTATGTTTATGTTTGTTTTGGTTTGTTTTTTTGTATATTTTATTGTTATACCAATGTTTATCGAAAACTAACGTAAGGTAAACAAACAGGTGCTTTGTTTTGTAACATGCTAAGTTTCTTTTTGTGTTTTGTTTTTTTTTCTATGTTTTTTTTCTATACCAATTTTAATAAAAAACTAAGAAAACAAAAATAAAAAAGTGGGTTGTTTTCAAACGATACCTTTTTTGAATCTTGATAAGACGAATACGATGACAAGTATTTTAATATAAATATAATACTCAAAATGATCACTCAATATAAACACTGTTGTTTTTTAAATTCATATTTGAATGTATATATGTATATGTATATGGATAGTAATAGGATAGTATAAGTAGTCCGCCTACGAGGACGGCTCACCACTGACTGACCATACGTTCTCTTTCCACTTGGCCCATTGTCAGCTAGCAAACTTTACTACCCCTTCCACAGTCCTTTCTCATAGACTCTCTTCATCCACCTGCTTCTCTCAACGAGAGAATTACAGGGCTGCAGAAGGAGATAATGTTACACGTGTAAATATAATTTTCAAATGTAATTATACATGATTTTTCATTTATAATATTAAAAGAATAATATTTTTTTTTAATTATGTGTGTCAAATTTTAAATAAAATTTAATGTGTAGATTTTTAAAACATATAGTACATATAATAAAAATATGAAATTTTTAAAATTAAATATAGATTTTTTTAAAATATATTAAATTTAAATATAAATTTAAATTATAAATTTATTAATAGATATAAATTTAATTTATAATTTTAATATAAATTCAATTATAAATATAAATTTTATTTAATTTATAATATAAAATTTTTAAAATTTAATATATATATATATCTATCAAATAAAGACTATTAATCTAAAAACGATAATAGAAACTCCTTTTTTTTATATATATATATACATAAACGATCGATAACAATTTTATCAACGATACTTCGTGGTATTAATCTAAGCATTTTTTCAAATTAAAAACAATCTATTCTGTGTTTTTAATATTGAATATTTTTTAAATAATATATCTCTCGTTACGTAGAAAAAACGTCAGCTGTTTTCTTCCTCTTTTCATTTCAAAAAAATTGATTATTATTCTATCAAAATTCTACACATATTTTGTATAAATATAATAACAATATTCCATTTTACGAAATATAAATACATAATTCATTGATAAAATATGTTTTGATCTGACTCGTACCCCTAGAGTGGTATATCAAAGCTATAAATTGCTATGATAATCAGCAAACTCAGTAATATGTCAGGCTTATGTCCTTATCTAAAGCTCTTCAGTCTAAAATAACTAATTCGTGTCAGATGTTATTTAACAGATTATACCCAAAAATTATAATATTGACATTGCGATAAATTTTCATTTCAATGAATACATTTTACAAATTTCATTTTTACATTCAATTTTTATTAACATTTAACGTTTCTTATTTTTTATTTATTTTTTTTGTTCTAAATTCATAACGAATAAATAAGAAGAGTGATAATCTTCATAGTTACATTCTCATAGATAACATAGCTTTTTTTTGATGAGAACAATTGGCCACTATCTATCGAACAATTCAACAATCATTCCTATAGTTACAATAGTACTCAGTAATAGAACCAAATGGGGTGGTACGTTAATCGTGTCGTCCGTAATTCAACTTAATAAGTCTTAATGAGATAAACGTGACCCTTGTTATAATCTTATGACCAGACTATTATTGCCACTCTGATATCGTCGTCATTCAACGTTTCTCTATCATCAATTATAATCATTTTAATAACAATCCTTTTTAACTTCTCAACTATTCATATATATATATTTATAAAGAACAAGAATAATATATTAATTCTAATCATTCACATATATAACAAAAACACGTACCTATATATATAGTTATTATTTTATAATTTATAATAATTTTATAATAATTATATTGGTTATTTATATTATATACTAGAATAATATATATAATTAATATAATAATATTATATAATATATTAATAATTATAAATTAATATTAAATATAATATATATAAATATAAATTATATTAAATATTATATTGTAATATATTAAAATATATTAAAATATTATATATTTTAATTTTGTTTTATTTTATTTTATATAATTTAATTTAATTTATATTTTAATATATAATATTAGTAATATATAAATTAATATTATATATATATAGTAATAACATATATAATAATATTTTTTTATTTAATTTAATTTAATTTATATTTTAATATATAATATTAGTAATATATAAATTAATATTATATATATATAGTAATAACATATATAATAATATTTTTTTATTTAATTTAATTTAATTTATATTTTAATTTAATTTAATGTAATTTAATTTATATTTTAGTATATAATATTAATATTTTATAAATTCCATGTATCCCGAAAGGGAATCATTATTTTAAATAAAAAAGATATTTTATAAATTAATATTATATAGTAATTATATGTATTATATATAATATAATTATTATTATTATTATTATTATTATTATTATTATTATTATTATTATTATTATTATTATTATTATTATTATTANATTATTATTATTATTATTATTATTATTATTAATTGGCATATATATAATCTAATCAAAAATATACACCTACATACGCAACATACATTACGTATATATTAAATATAATAATGACGTAACGTAACATATACCCATATGTTATTTTTTTCATACATTTAAGGATGTTAGAAGAAATAAATAAAAAATAAAAAGAAAAAAAATATTGAACCATAAAAGGGATCCTTCGGAACACACCTAATGCGAATTTTTGTTCAGGTCGCTTGCGTCCCTGACGATGCAACACGGCGAACGTGAGAAAGATTTCTTCGTACATCCTGCTTACACTTAACTAACACATGAAATTCCTCTATCTCTGCAGCCCTGCAATTCCATCGAGGTGGTTCTCTCTATCTTTCTTATGGTGTATGAACTCGCACACAACATCGTTGAATGGTCTTCTCTACCGAAGTTTAAACCGCCTACCGCAGGTATCAAATAGATTGGTATGTGTATGTATGTGTATATGTTAGTAACGTAGGTAGAATGTAATACACACACTTTCTTACAAATTACATACGAAAAAAAAAACAAACACTCACGTACGCACGTACATTCGTGTGAATCTGTGGTTTTCTTCTACTGGGTGTACGAAAATGGTGATGAATGGAAGGTGGGGAGGTGGTAAAGTTTAAAATCCTATAAAAAGAATAATAATATCAATTTTAAATAATTTAATAATAATTTACATGAAGTTCACAAAATATTTTACAGTATTGTTCATCATAATATTCTTATAATCCAATTTAAAATCGAACAATACACAAATGTAACATAAAAAGGGGCTCTTATTTTATTTTATTTTATTTTAGGTTATGTTCTAGTATTTCGCGCAATTACCGAAATGTATGGCCAACAGATGGCACTAGACTTAAATGTATCTTATTTCTTTGTTTTTTTTAAATTAATTAATTATTTTATACTTATATATTTATAATTAATATTTGTATATTTATATTTTATTATTATTGTT